GCATATGCACAATCCTGATGAAGTTTCCGAAGGTGTCACGGGAATGAGCAGTATATCGTTGTCGGACGTGTTGAAATCGCCGAATAAGGCATTCAAGTTCACGGACGTCCGCAGTCATGTCTGCATTAGAAACATTTATATACAGCCATTGCAGCAGGCGAGCTCGCCAAGCGGGCGTAGCCTGCTGAATGGAAGCAACAACTTCGGACCAAGAACCCGCTGCACCTAATGTCAATAACTGCCGTAACGTTGTTCGTACTGCTAGTTSAGGGCCCGGGCTAATATCAATGGTGAAGGCCCGAGAGGAGACGCCAGTTGGAGACGGGTGAGGAGAAACGACAGAATGATGAGARGCAGCAGAGGAAGGACCAACTTCCCGCCAGCGATCGGGGCGTGGCTGCCGTCGAGGAGGCGGTAATCGAGACATGGGCAAAACTGCATTGAAGCCCGAAGGGTGCAAGGTTCGCAGCCGTCGGACCCAGAAACCCTCTCTAGGTGACGCCGCCCGCCCAAAGAGGGCATGATCAATCTCACCGCGATCAGTAATGTAGAGCGCACGATCAATACATTCAAGCGGCCAAACAGCAAAATTGAAGGGAGACTGTTGTCGCATGACGTGATAGAGGTGCCGATGACGATAATCAACAGCAGTATGTCGCACATGCCAGTGCTCCTTCAAACGTTGATGAGCAGTATGGATTGTCTGGCCAACATAGAGACGCCCAGAGGGTATATGCACAACAGCATAAACAACTCCAGTAACAGAAAGCGGATCATTGCCTGGCTGGAGCAGCTGCTGGTCGATACCTCTCAGCTGTAGTTCAAAGCGCTCAGTTGCGGTGACAGTATGTAGACAGCGCAATTGCTTTTTATGCCACGTTCCCGCAGAATACAAATCAGTATTCCAACGATAATGGGCAAGCCAGTCAACGCGTTGCCGGTAAGAGAAAGGGGGATTGTGGCCCCGTGAACGAAGAGAAGGAAGCGGTGCTGTGCCGTCCCGAATGAACTAACCCCCTGATTTATCTGTAATGGTAACGACATGTTTTTGTTAAAGAGAATTATGAAATTTTTTTAATTTTTTGAGTTTTTTAATTTTTATTTTTTATTTTTTATTTTTTATTTTTACTCGGTACAGCAAGTGCCCAGGAAAGCAGGACTTTAGGCCCGATGGCTCAGGCCGGGAAACCTGCCATCGTCCTTTAATTTATTTATTTTTTTTTAATGAGGAATTTCGATGTTGTTCAGTTTATTATTCTGCATAACATTTTTTTTAATAGATTTTTTGGAGTCTTTTTGCTTTTTGTTTCTGTTGCTGGGACCTTCTTTGGTCCTTGCACGGCCGGGCCTCCCGTGCAAACAAGGTGACCCGGGCGGTCCGGCTACCGTCTTCACCCGAATAGAACGCCCAGTCATTATCGCCGTATCTAGTCTGGAAGTTGCACCAGATACAGCTACAACGAGCGGACGTTCTATTCGGGTCAAGACGGTAGTAACCTAGGTAGGAAAAGTAAAAAAGACGATGGGACAGACACAGCAATACCTGAAAGCTTCGAATGAGGAAGAGGATGGCGGGAGGAAAATGGAGGGGGGGG